TTATTGGCCATGTACGATAAATAATACTATTTATAATTTACTGAATATAGTTCTTTGAACTTGGCGTAGCATTCGAGGTCATAATATAGATAATCAGTACACAGTAATATAAACCGACCTCAGAAGTCATTCATCCCCTAGTTTGTCACCCTCAGAGGTGGAATATTCTCTTCAAATTTAAATGGAAGCACTACTGAGATACCCTCTTTCAAAAAAAAACATCAAAATTGGTCGCGAGTTACCACGTAACATACACACAAAAATAATGCAGTCGAATTAAATACCTCCTCCTTTTTTCCAAGTCGGTTAACAATGGTACTAAATGGCAGTTTTTATTCCAATTATTTAAAGTGTTTCTTGCAGTTTTAGGTATTTGATAGTTGCAATCCGAGATTCCTGGGGGCCATCTATGAATATTTTCCTTCCGGGCCAATTAGCATCAGATATCCTTTGAAGGATAAGCTTGGCTATCCAAAGGATAAAGATTGCCAGTCTACTGGACATGACGCTTCATGCTGCGCCCAAGTGTTTTTCTTTCATTTCTTCTATGTTATGAACATATATATATGTCGGAGCCAGCTATCACTTCAAACGTAATTTATTAGATAAACGATTTACTAGGCTACCTACGAATCACTTTAACTAGTCTCTAGTAGTTAATTTTAGTAGCAATAGAGCTCCTTGTGAAAGAGTGCGTCCAGGGAAGTACTACCACCTTACCTATTTCTGCCGCCAAGCAGTAATGTCAGCATCTTTTCAATTTAAAGCCCTGAGTGGCACTGTAATTGTCATAGACAGGCCTGTAGCTCCCCATCAGGCGCACGACTTGTTCGCCCCGTCACTTGATGTTATAAAAAAAAGTCTGTATCATGGTTTCTTTGTTTGCAAATGTAAGATTCTTACAAGATTCTCATATATATATATGTCAGCGCCAGCTATCAACTCAAAAGTAATTTATTAGATAAACGATTTACTAGGCTACCTACGAATAATTTTATCCAGTCTTGATTACAAATGTCACGTCAGCTTGACAGCTCAAACTGGGTATGTTCGGAGAGAGGGGGCTTTTTGTGTAAGTTGCTTGGACAGGGAAGACATACCGCCTCGCTCTTTCTGAACGTGCCGCGTGATATTTAGAAGCCGTTTTAACCTCATACATCTTTTATACTATCAGAGTAATTACTGTGAAAAGTGCATAAAACAACTAATTGCAATCAGCTGATGTTACTATTTTACCGTCGGCTGAACGAATTAATAACGAAGAGTGAATAAGTCGATTACCAAGTAATTTCTGACTAAATCTGTGTTGAAGGTGTTTTGATGTCTCCCTATCCGGAAAACTCCGACATATATGTTAATATAGTGAAAAGGTGATTTATTCAATTAAATTGCTTTAATTGAATAAATCACGTTAAATTAAATTTACCTTCTAGTAGCAGTAGAAAGATTTCGAGAGATCCTCGTGAAAGATTTTGTCCACGGAAATCCCGCGTTACCTGTTTCTACCGCCAAGCAGCAATGCTCAAATTACTGCGTTCCGATTTGGAAAGGTAACGGTACCTACTAGTGAAATTACAGGTACATGGGACTTGTCAACTTATGTCTCAAAGTGACAAGCAAAGTGGCAGTGCAACTGCTGTGGATAGGTGTGTCACTTGGTATCCATAAAAAAAGTGTCATATTAATTTTGAGAGGATTGTTATAAACATATTGTTTGCGATATATCCAATCACTGAACAGCGCAGGACGTCTGCATGCTGCAAAACAATTAGGTTTATTAATTTATACTATTTAAATATTTTATGCCATGCTCTGAGTTTCCTTAAATGTAGTGGCGCTTATTTAAAAAGCTGAAATTTAAAAATAAATTCACACTGAAAAAGAAATTAAATAAACAAGATGCACAATGATTGCGGCAACGATTTCAATCATATTGTGATTGAATCAATTAACCATTCGCCAAACAAATTAAAATTCCACTTGATTGGAATCCGTTTTATTTTCTAGTGACCTACACTGTTAATAAGTTATTCGCATCCCTAGTCGTGTACAAAACAAGAGCCTCTGTTTATGTTTTCAAGTTTCTTGTTACAGAGAGGGAAAGTGGCAACAATGTAATAAAGTTGTAACTTTATGCGGGATTAACGTACTTTTTCGCAGAACAGTTTTTATATAGAGAAAAGCTTTTAGGAGGTTAATTTTGTTAAAATATAAACCATTGATACCATTTCTTACCAACTTCATGATGTGGTGAACTTTCATATTAGCATTCATTGCGTTACGGGCCATTTTGCGTACACAAAAAAAAAACAGATATTTGGAAAAAACATGATGATGTTGTTTCCAAATATCTGATTTGTCAACGTATTATAAGTTAGATCAATGCTTTTTGGGAACTTTTTCATGATATCAAGTGACGGATACGCCTGGTGGTAAGCGACACTCCTGTCCATAGCAGATGCAGTGCCAATCAGAGCTTTAAGTCGCAAGGATCTGAAGGGCATTGCCACTGCGCCCGGCACTCTGAGTTGACAAGTAATTTCCCCAGCTGTACTCTTCAAAACCGGAACGCAGTAGTGCTCAAATAGGTTAGGTGGTACATCACTAGATGAACCCCTTCACTAGAAACTCTACTGCGATTATACATACATAATTTAATTTGTCAGTATTGCACGAAACACGCTATACGGACGCAACCCTGTGGTTATTCCGTAGCTTATGGACATATCCTTCCTTTTATCCAGTGCACAACAAATTAAAAAAATTAATTTAGATGTAAGCTGATAAAAAGAAATACAATTAATCTATTCCTGTGTAGGCACTTGAATGGTCTCGTTAATTAAAAAAAAAGATGACTAGGTATGTGTTTTGTTTGAGGATAGAATTACCATAAAGCCATCTTGCTTTTGTCTCCGAGACTAATGATTAGCAGTGAAATGGCGTTTTCTCTTTATTCCTATTTTTTCATTGTCTTCACCATTCTCTGCTTAACGAGAATTACTGAAAACACAAAAAAAAACATTCATTTTGACTTCAAAGTGAATATTGCTGTAATTATTTCATTTTTAAACTGAAACGCTGTAGAGAATGGAAGTTGCACTGGGAGATCTTGGAGCGTATCAAATAACCTAAAGCCCCGTGTATAACAAAATGTATATACTTACTATGTAGGTCATTAAAATCCAGATCAATTAACAATATATTATAATTATTATTATAAGTCGTGGTACCTAATGATTTTGGTAGCAGTAGGGCTCCTTGTGAAAGAGGTCGTCCAGGGCCGTACTGCCTTACCTACTTCTGCCGCCAAGCAGTAATATGAGCATTACTGCGTTCCGATTTAGAAGGGTAAAGATGCTGGTGAATTTACAGGCACATGAGACTTGTCAATTTATGTAAAAATTATTATCCATAAATATTAACCTTAGAACTAAGTCCAAACTCATGGTACCACGATTTCGTTTAACCAAGGTAAACAACTATGGGGAACTGTATACGTTTTTACAATAAGATTCCGGAGCATATATTAAGTTTATCATTTCCTAAGTTTAAAAACTACATTAAAAATATTTTGAAGACTACGTGTTAGATAAAGATGTATGGAAAGACGACATGGCTCCAGAATCCACACAAATTTGATTCAAAGTGTATTCCATAGCATTTAAGTTTATTTGAAAAGAGCAATCCCTAGAGTTTCTTGCTCGTTCTTCTAAGGGAGGTCAGCGTAGTGAACGAGCAGTAGCTTAAATGTGACGTTTTCAAGTGTAAATTTATTTTACCTATGGAATAAATAATCTTTGACCTTGATGTCTCAGGGTGACGGGTGCAGTGCCATTATCCATAAGATCTTTGCGATTTAAAGCTCTGAATGGCACTTCAAATGTTATAGATAGGTGTGTCGCTTACCGCCAGGTTCACAACTTGTTTATCCCGCCACTTGGTATTATCAAGCATAGGGTCGTGGGTTCGATGTTTCTCGGAAATTATGTGCGAAACTTAATTTGAAATTTTCCAAGAGCTTTTCGCTAGGGAAAACATGATGGTGAAACCTGTACGTCAAAGAAGGTCCACAACTCTCGGAAAAACGCGTGATGTCCGCAACCCGCATTGGGCCAGAGTGACGGACTATAGGCTAAAACCCTCGCCTGATAGGAGACTCGTGCTCGACAGTGGGGCGTATAAATGGGTTGATGATATTATTAAAATGAAAATAACAGCTCTATAATATAACCATAGGGAATCCAGAAAAATACTTTATAAGAATCCAGGTTGCGTTTTTATATAATATTTGCATATAATTAAAAACCGTTCTCAAAAGTCATTCATCCCTAAGTTTACCACCTTTAGAGATGGAATATTTTCTTGAAATTTAAATGGAACCACTACTGAGGTACCCTCGTTTTAATAAAAAAAATCATCAAAATTGGTTCACAAACGCCTGAAAAAAATTAGTTATTGCGTAGCATACTTAAAGAAAAAGCATACGGTACAATTGAGAACATTCTCATTTTTTTGAAGTCGGTTCATAAAACAAATCTAAATGGATCAGATTACAATTTAATAAAGCAGCGGAAGATCCGACAGTAACATGAAAGTCAGATCTGAACTCACGGCAGTTTTAAGATCTAATTCTTCTCACCTACAACTCGAATAAGGACACCGACGGACCTGATTTAAGAGTTACCTCTCCAAAATTTATTTTATTGAATGTCACTATGTTCTACTACCATGATTTTCAGTTTCTTTTGTGATATCACTCCACTAGTTTGTTATAACTATTAATACAAAGATAAATTCCTTCGATCCAGTTGGATTCGTACCAGAGTCTTCCAGCAATCCGTGCTAGATGCTCTGCCAGCTAAACCACGGAACGAACCATACACGTTGCGAATTTTTCTTGTGCATTATCGTCATGTTCTTTGTATTAATAATTAAAACAACATCTGAATTAAATAAGTTATTGAATGAAAATAATAAAAAAACTACAAAAATTAACTTACTAATAACTGTAAAATTGAGCTTCATATTTCTAGTTGGTGAATTCTTGAAGTCAACTCTGCATCTATAGATCCCAGCATCTGAGGACTGGACGCTGTCCACGAGGAGAACAGCAGGAGTGGCCGCAGAACGGAAGTAAGCTCGTGATCCGAACCCGGTTGGTGACGACCAGAGCTTGGGTTGGGTGGCCAGGCGACCCCGGACGTCATAACTGTTGTAAAAAAAAATAATTGAGAGATACCTACAACATCGAACACTTACACAAAGTATTAGGTACCAAGTCACTAAACTCTGTCTTTTTGAAGGCGAAGTAAAATCACATTTGCAGGGTTGCCAATTTTCATAAAATTTCCAATAGTCATGTAGATGTTGTCGACAGTTTTATCGATAGATTTTGAAAAAAGGGATAATTTTGCGTTATTGCTTTCTTTATTCTTATTTTGACAGTTGGTCTACTAGTATCGAAATCAATTTTTACTCACACACATTTTGATTAAAACAGGCGCATTGCTGTAATGTATGATTATCTGTATTAGATTAAAATAATTTGCATTTTTATTAGATATAGTTCCAAATGCCGTGTCTATATGTGTGAACCTACAAAAATTGACAATTCAAACGAACCTGTGCCCAGTAGCTGAACGAAAAATGAACCGGTGATGATTCAAATGGAACAAGTTCGGATATTTATTGCATAACGTGACCTACATTCAGCCTATAGTCGATAGAATATTTATGCTTGAAAGCGAGCAACACTTTTGCGCAAGAATTGTCATTTTACTCCATTTTCAAAAATAACTGACCAAATAAAAGTTCACCAGTGAAATACAGAGTAAAAAAATTACAGCAATAAATATTTTTGAGGGATGTAAATATCATGAAAAAAGCTTGCACGTAGTGTTTTTATGTGAAATATGTCTATGTCAATTTCTGTGTTAACAGTCAAGTTAATATGACTGCATAAGTCTGTTCAAAGAGGAATTACTGTCTTAGATTTGTTCTGCTACTAGACGAAACAAATGTTTTGGTCATAGGTAACCTAGGCAACCCTACGAAGAACGTTTAAATTGATGAGATCCAGTGCATCCGACGACGACATACCTTCATGGGATACATATCTCTTTAAACTACTTATTTTCACATGAAAATAAGTAGTTTATTGCATTTCTGTTCAATATTTTATACTTCTTATTTAGTGTAACATGTCTCAAATTTTCGAAATTTAATTCTTTAAATTTAAATATCTACAGTGAATCATCTAAAGTTAATTTGTATAAATTGATACCCAATGATAAATACATTAGGTACACAATACAGTTATTGTTATATATATGATTATATATTTATTACATTGGTAGTGAATGCTCTTAGCATTAAGTCCACACATAATCCACTGTGTTGTGGTGAATAAAGTTTAATAAATAAAATGTACCTTATCGATTCTAAAATCCATTTGAGTTTAAAAAGTACAGTCGGAATGAGGCTCGTTGTAAAATGCAAAGGAGCTATTACAAACTGAGTAAAGTCTGACCCAAAAAACGATCTTATGAATTTCTAAGCGTCTGTGTTTGCGGAGCTTCAAGGATTTTCCTCCTTTGTAGTCGAGCTATAAAGCATTTAATTACCAAGTGAGATTGCTCCACAGGAACCTGATCTTTATTGTTTTATAGCCTAGAAAAATGGCCTCCCTTAGTTTTTGCAAGAATGCAGTCATATTTCCTTCACAAAATTAATAAATTATTATCAGGCAGTGTACCAGTTCTAAAAATGTTTGTTAAAAGTCCAAAATCCAAAAAAAAGCTTTTTTGAGTAGCAACCATGCCTACTAAATCGACTCCAAGCACAAACGTGTGGATGGTGTGTTTGGTTTGACTTGCGCGAGCTTGCATGTGTTTGTCGCCGATTCGGCCAAGAGTCGGTTTTTGAGCACAAATCAAAGGAAGATTGCAGCAAGCGCTTGCCATCTACAGGTTAGTGCTAGTTATAGTTAGAGCGTTTGCGCATTATGGCCAATTCGTATCAGGGATCGATTCAGAACCTTACGATAACTCAGTTGTCGACCGATTTCTTTTCAACACCCGAATCGAACGTCAAACTATCGTATTCGAAACCGAACCAAAATGACGTCACACCCGTACGATTATTCAAAGTTCTCGACCCACAAACGTTATTCAGAAGACAGTTATCGAATGAAACTTACCGAACGTCCTATTTTAGGTTACAAAGCAAGAATGTACGTACTATGTAATCTATTATTTGAAATGAAGTCTGGATTTTGTTCAATTTCATTAATTTATTTTAATGCAAGACTAATGCATTCCAATATTTTAGGTCTTTAAAGTCTTAATAATGTATATAAGAGGATTTTCATTTTTCTTATAATCTATTTCATCGACTATCTCCGTAAATGCTGTTGGATAACGATATCGCACCCGAATCAGGGGTCTACTCTCGATCTCCGTCCGAAACAATTACTGCCAAATAAGCAATATTTGACCAAATGAAAAGACGCTTGATGCGAATGAAGCCTCATACATGATACTTGTCTGAATCGAACATTTAACTCAGAATGTTCTGAATAGTTCGGAAAGCGCCCTTCGATTCGAGAACGATATTTAATCGAACGATTCGGTTAAAATATGGAAGAGTTCTGAATCGGGGTCCGGTTCCGAATTCGAGAAATGACAGTCCGAAATGTCACAGAGATCATTTTATCTCTAGGTGTACAAGTGATATTTGTATTTTCTCGGATTGGAATCAGATTTAGTGCACAAGCGACATCCGAAGTTGGTCCGAAATTTGTATAACTAAGTTCTCATCTATCAGGCGACTTGTTCGTCCCGTCACTTGATATTAAAAAAAAAAGGTTTCGCCTCTCAACGTGGCATCATCAGATGTTAACTGTTCAACCCACGGCCGAAAAAACTTCTTCGCGTAGTAGCAAAGTAATTTACTTTTATTTTTAACATATCTACCTGTAAAGCGGTTCTCCATCTGCTTCCTTAAACCACAGGACCATGGAGACGAGATCATCAGAAGCAAGCGGTTGAGTATCACAAGGCAGAGCTGCCTTTTTACCAAGCACGCCTTGGACGTGCGCTGTTGGCACTGTAACAAACAAAAAAAACACGATATCAAATAACGAAACGGATTGCTAAGGCCCTTTTTATGCTTATATAAGCTGCAAGTCATACATACAGAGTACAGTTTTACAGATTATTGTATTTTAACAAGTTATTAATTAAATTTTATTATTAATTATTAATATTAATTAGAATAAATTAAAACATATTAGTACTGCAGTCTAATGTCAGCTTGGGATTTTTCATCAGAGGAAATACTGGATCCCAAACTAGTGATATGGAGAAACCATCTTCCCTGTTAAAATTAGGATGGTTTTTAATTTCAATTACCTCCCGCACCACCCTGGGTAGATAACGGACTTCTTTTGTAATGACCTGAGGTTTGTCGAACTTAATTAAGCATCTGGGTATATCCATGACATGCTCGCAGACTACAGACTTATTATTTACGTAGCGGTGTTTGACATTAGCTACGAGTATATGTTCTTTGACGTAAATACAAATACTTCGTTTATTCAATGTAAGAGAGACAGTATTCGCAGTCAAGCTTGTAAACTTCTGCATCCTGTAGGGGGAGGTTACATTTCACATATTAATATGTAATAATAATTATAATATATGAATTTGATTTACTTTTGAACGTAACCATACAAAATTTGTATGAAGTTTTAGAATATTATATTATAACGCATCACTGGCTAAGCTTCACTCGAAACAACTAGCTCGATCAATGATAATTAGAGCATAATGTAAAAAAAAATCAAAATGGCGACAATATTTTTAATCGTCTTAAAAAAAGGGAGTGGTTGTCAATTCGACTGTTTTTTTTTGTAAGAAATTTAACGCGATAACTCACAATTATTAGATAATTTCGTCATTATCGTAGAGCAGTGACGGATTTACGTTTTGTCAAACTTTACAGGGCAGCCATTACAAGTAATTGAAACGGTTTTTTCGACATAACTTTTTTTATATAAATCCTGTTGTGGTGAAAATTTACACATATCCTATTAAAAGGATTCATTTTATGACGGAATATAAATAACAATTAATACGTTGGTGTTCAAGAAAAATCACATGTATGATTTTACTACGGAGTTCTACTGAGTCAACGCAGTCACATAGTCCTATCCGACACTGTTGTTTGGAAAAATTATAAGGTTGCAGTGATGGATATTACTTTACGATCATGGTCTGTCCACTTTCAAAGAAATATTTTGACGGATTTTTTATATGGTATATGTTTTTTCGGAAATAAATCTCATTCTATTAGTACGTCATGTTATTTGATTAATAACATTAGTTATTTGCAGAGATCGGACAGGCAGAATATATTTATCTAAACTTCGAGGAAGTAATATACATAGAGTGGACCCCTCTGAAATTCCGGAATTATTGTATTGTATTTTGTTTTAAATTTTTGGTGTTTAGTTAATAATTATTTGATTACTATAATATTTCAAGGAATATTTTGTAATTTTAAGTAAAAATAGAACTAATTTGTTTTAATTAGTAATTTGTCTCTTATTTTTAATCATTCCGGCATTTCAGAGGGTCGTATCTACTTAATGTGTGTTACTAGCGAAGCTTAGATAAAAATATGGTCTGCCTATTCCGCTATCTGGTTATTATTATGGTTTTGACCAGAAACGAAATTCTTTTACACCCTTGAATACAAATTTCACTATGAAGTCATAGACGCAACTGACGATTTCGTTTACCTCACGTTTTGCAACACCTTCCTCCCCCATATAACAACCCTGTTTATTAGCCATATAGTAATATGGTGAAATTATAAACACAACAGTTTCCACTTATGATCAAAAATTCTCATTTGCCCATTAGGGCACGACAAAACTTTTGAAAACCCAAAGTAATGCAAACAATGTGTCCGTTGAATTACGAGTGTCGCCTTTACTATTATTTTTCATTGTTCTGGATAAAGCGTGCCTATAGTTTCGGTACCCATCTGAAAAATAGGGAGGGTGTTGTACGTGCACCCGGGGCGGCTCAACTAAGGCACTAGCTTTTCAGAGAACCGGATGAAGTCCGTGTGCAAACGGACTAATCTGGGGTTAGGACATGACTTAGATGGTCCCTGCGCGGGCATGCTCGCGCAGATCATAGTGCCCTTCTCGTACCTTATGGGTCGTTAGGGAGGGTCACTATAATCAAAACTAATGTAGAAAGATATAAGGCTCTCCTAGACAGAGGTTTGCTGTTTAGGTGTTTTGTATAACATTCTTTGAGCTCTTTGGAGGGATTTATGATTTGATGAGAGCTGGGACACTGGTCACAAGGACAAGGTCCTTTTTGGGTACATGAAGACTCAAATTGCGTATTTACAATATCTCTGTACTGTCTAAGACTAGAAGCAGTATTTGAATAATTATACTAAGTTCGTATAAATTGTATTGTATTGTAAAAAACCATTCTTTGTATAAATTGAATATCCGAGTGATGCTCTAACGACCAATCAAATACAATCTTTTGGAAGCAGCTCTATTATAAAGGGACTATACGGGCGCAAAAGAAATTACATGCGCACAAGCTGACATTATCTTTTCGTCATCGACAACTTTATTATGACTTTTATGTTTCCACCGCATGTCTTTTTCTAGAATAGTACTTACTTCCATCATATTTATTCCAACCTGGTCGTACTAATCTCTCGCTAATCGAATATCGTGTTTTTTTTAAAAACGTCGATTTACAAACCTTTATCCTTGATATTTCCTTTGGCAAAAGTATTTGTATGTAAATTGACTATTATACTTAAATTTCTTTAAAACCCCTTTTCTTATTCTGTTTTGTAGCACTGTGCAACATGAAGCCATTATTTATCCCGGTTGCCTAATTCCAAAAATTTGTTAAAGGCCACCTTTCAGTCTTCAAGGCTCAACTTAGTGACACATTTATATCTACAAGATTTACGAATAGTTTTCGCTGGAATAGGTTTGCCCTTTTTTGATGAGTAGGTTTTACTTTAATTTCTAATACGCTTTCTCTTAACTTCTTCCCAGCTATCATAATTATGATTTACCCCTGTATCGAATAACAGGATCTGGAGAGGGCTGACATAAAGACGGTGCTTTATTTATAGATGGTTGCTATAATCGACACTGTCGTTGTAGAACAAAATACATAGTAACATATTGCGCAATGGCTTTTCGCCGGTGATGCTAATGATGATTAATTTTTTTAAATAAGAATAATAAAAATCCTACGCCATGAATGCACACCATCAGGTAAAGTATAGATAAATTAACTCATTTATGTGAACAAAAACAATAAGTATTACAATTAAATTACTCTTTTGTAAAAATCTTTATAAAATAATTAATAACAATTTTTTTTTCAAAACAAAAATGACTGATGTAGATTTATGTTTCAAGAACATAGTGGGAAGTGGACATACGGCACTTGGATACAAAAGCGTATGCGCAGAACAACGTCGGTTGTGATCACTCGTCAATGTCATGTCCGTAGAAAAAAGCGATATAGTTACATACACCACGATATTTTGAAACCTCGGTAAATAATAATCGGACATACCCTACAATAATTAATTCTGTACCTCCAGTGTAAATGGGTTAAATGCTATTTTACAAGAGAGCGAAAACTCGTTTTGAATCAGTTTTTTCTCACTCATTCACAAAAAAAAAGTATTTTTTCAAATATTTTCAGATAGAATAAAGGGTAAGTAATAAGTTGATAGTAAAATGAACCTGTATTTTGCAAAAATGACAGAGATGTTGACTTACATAAATTGTTTATATCCCTTTACACAAAAAATGGAAATGTATAAAATGGATAAAGTAGAGTTTATCTAAAGAAATCAAAAAGTTATCAAAAAGTGATCAAAGTAAAATAGTACCGCTTTACACAAATTCACGCTCTGCGGGTATCGATAAAACATAATTTTTACCGCTTTATACAATATTAAGGCTGTATTATAAAACAAAATATGTATAGTTTCATCTATTTACACCAACACTCGTACGACATTTAATTTGTTCATACAGGTAAAAGTAGACGTGAACCATAATTAAAACATACGATTTGCGAATGTCGCTATTGCTTGTGAGATAAATTAAAAATAAACCATTTTGAACAAATTACTTGCAAATTTTTGCTAGTATTAATCCCTTTGCACAATCGTTATCTTCGCAGTCAATGATCGCATAAACACAAGTGTCAAAACAAACGATGTAGCATTACGAAAAACACGCAATGTTATCAAAATCCACATTTTGGATAAACTCGGGTTTAACCGTTTTACACTGGAGGTACAGGATTTACAAGGAAAATTAAAACTCAGTTTGATGGAAAAGTCAAAGTCAAAGTCAAAGATTATTTATTCCATAGGTAAAATAAATTTACACTTGAAAACGTCACATTTAAGCTACTGCTCGTTCACTACGCTGAGAAGAAACTCTAGGGATTGCTCTTTTCAAATAAACTTAAATGCTATGGAATACACTTTGAATCAAATTTGTGTGGATTCTGAAGCCATGCCGTCTTTCCATACATCTTTATCTAACACGTAGTCTTCAATTTTGTAATATGATTTTTCGATCAAAATATTTATTCATAACATTATAATAACATTCCGTATAACATCCGTGATAACATTCCGTAGAAGAGTGACGAATAATCGAAACTGGCATTGTTTTACGTATTACTTTTCTTGCGAGAGGTGGCAAAAATTAATGAAGTGAATATTATCGAGTTCTTAGGTTTTCGCGATTGTTACACATAGGAAATGAAACTATTTTTCCGGATTTAAATCGCGTATATTTGTTTTTTTTAAAACAAACCGACGTTTCGGGCCCTTTACAGGTCCCGTGGTCACGGTTGACTGTCAACCGGAAAAATAGTTTCATTTCCTAAGTGAATATTATTTAATTATTAATACGTCACTTCATGAACATACCTGGAGACCTGGTATGCAGTCCTCATCACTGTAATCGCAACTTGAATTGTTTTAATCTGTCATTCCATTAGTTTCACTATA